CTACAGTCATGAAAGGGTTAACTTGAATTTGTTCACTATGTAAGTAATCGTTGTCGAATCCAGTATGATGCATAGCAATCCTATGAATAACTGACCTGAAACCCTTCCCTGTCCTCTGCTATCTTGATAATCTCTGATACACTTGAGCCGATTGCTACAGTCACTATGTCAGTCTACCTTGTTGAGGGTCTTCTTCTCTTTCATCAACCCTCCACTTTTCCAAAATGATCTCCCATTCAAAAGGAATGGCCTCTCATAGCAGCATGCCCAAAATAAGTTAAGATGATGCTTCGTCATGGCACCAAGGAGCACTCTGGCTGCACTTTTCCCAAGATGTATCTGTTTGCTTTTTGGCAATCCATGGGATATTCAGTGCAGTTTTCCAACACCACAATTCAAAGGCATCAATTCCTATGTCATCCTAATTCATTGTACATCCCTTAGGTACATAGCAAGTGATTGAAAAGACCATGGACTCAATTTGGTACACCTTAGTCTTCAAACTGACATCATTGCTCTTCTTTATTCTGAAGAGGTCTCTTAGAGTGGACTTTATGTGTCTCCTCACTGCTGACACCATGAATGTCTATTGTAGCTCCAACTAAGATGAAATCATTGACAATTTCAATCCTTTTTCCATCTATCATGTTGTTGCCAAGTATATAATTTTACCTCCCACACCCTCAAAAAAAGTTTTTCAGGAAAAGAAACATACTTTTTGTTGAAGTTCAAAATCCGTACCTCATTCTGTGACCCTCTGTCATCCACATTGTACTCAACATTTCAGCTTTAGCTTAAATGTTTTGATTTTTCCACTTACTTGCTGTATGAGTTTGAACAGTCTGTCTGATCTGTATTCCTCAGTTTATTTAATCTTCATAATAGGAAAAAATGATAGCAGCTATATCATAAGGAAGCTGTGAGGGTTAAATAAGAAAACATATGTGAAGTACTTGGAAACAAGCCTGGCATGTAATAAGAGATTAATAAATATTATTGATTCTTTGTATAAGCTTCAGTAATCACTGCATAGTGAAAATGCCTTTGTCTTCTCCCTGCTGAATTTTTGCTAATGCCATCCTCACTGTCTTGAATTCTCAGAACTAGGTAGACAACATAAGCTCAAGAGAGATCAAGGAGACTCATTGGTTGTATTGACTTGGGAATGCCTCAAGTACTTACAACTAACGTAAAGAATGAGAAGGGTCTTGGGCTTCTCATTCAAAGGCTGAAAAAAATTTTTGCATTTTAAATTACTTAGTATATAAGCTCTATTTGTAATTAAAAACAATTTTAATAATAATAGTAGGTTTGCTTAATAACAGATTCAAAACTGATGAGGTTGATTTAATGTTTGTCTTTGTTTCAGGCAGCTATGGAAAATGTCAGTGGTACTAACCAGAACATGACCGAGACGTCTCCTCCAGCTGAGGTGGGATCAGAGACTCCTCAGGTGACTCAGGAAGGACAAGGGCAGCTTCTTTTTCATGAGGAAACCATTGATCTCGGTGGAGATGAATTCGAGTCTGAAGAGAATGAGACCATATCAGAAGATTCTAATAATTTCTTAGATAAGCTTAATGAACACATGATGGAAAGTGTTCTCATTTCTGACTCTCCTAACAACAGTGAAGATGATGTGGGTGAACTTGGCTGTTTGCAGGATGTTGTAGAGCCTGTAGAAAGCAAAGCTGATAACAGAATGGAAAAGATTGATAAAGAAGATATTGATACTCTCAGTAATAACAGTGGAACTGACCGTGATGATACCCCTAAAGATGTCTCTGACATGACCTCTGATAGCAGAGCTTCTTTGAAAGAAGACCCACCACAGGAAGTAAAAGATATGCCCATGTTTGAAACTGAAGAGACAGCTGACTCAGCCCCAACTGATGAAAAAACTAATCCAGAAGAACAGGTATCAGAAATATCTTCTAGTCAGTCATCCTCTAAAGATGAGCCTGTCCCTGTGTGTACCATTTTCAGTCAATCAAATACAACAAATTCCCAGCCTCACTTATTTCTCCATGACGGCTTTGAGTCTCAGATGGTAAAATCTCCTAGTTTCAGCAGTGCAAGTGAAACTTCATCCAAGACACCACCTCAGGTGGTTCAGCCAAGTCCCAGCCTGAGTAAATTTTTTGGAGATACAACCAACACGAGTTCCTTGGCTTCTGACTTCTTTGATTCATTTACTACATCCACTTTCATTTCTGTCAGTAATCCTAATGCAGGCTCTTCTGTACCAGAAAAATTGTCTTCACTCACTACTCCAGGGGGAGATAAATCCCCTGATTCTGCGGGCCTTTCTTACTCTCCAGGCATTGAAAGATCAGAATCGGGTATTTCCACAGCTTCTCTAGAAATTTCTCAATCTCCAAAACCATTTTCACAGATACAAGCAGTATTTGCAGGGAGTGATGACCCCTTTGCCACAGCCCTGAATATGAGTGAAATGGACCGAAGAAATGATGCTTGGCTTCCTAGTGAGGGGACAAGGAATGTTTTGATTTCTGTAGCAACTCAACAGTATAGTACAGTGTTCATAGACAAAGAGAATCTCACCATGCCTGGCTTAAAGTTTGACAATATTCAGGTAAGATGTGGGATGTTTTATAAGGCACTTTTCTAATAGAAATCTTTTCAATGAAAGAAACATTATTCTGAGCTTATGTCTTTCCTTGTAACCTGTTTCTACATGATTTTTTAAAAAGACTAAGGAGTATTTTTCAACAGTCACTAAGATGCTGATTGTAAGAGTTTTTATAATTATATCAGTAGGTAGTTTGAAATGTTTTATTTCCCTGATTTAAAAGTCTTCTCAACCAGATGCTCTGCTGGAGAAGGAGGGACAATTTCCTCCTATACCAGTCAGATCTGATTTGATGGTATATGCACAAAAAATAATAAAAATGAAGTAAAAAAATTTTTTAAAAACCTACTCATAATTTCAGAAACACCAGCAAGACACATAAGTTGTTGTTGAGTACCATGAGATAAGAACCAACTCATTACTGACTCTGCAGTAGGTTTTTAGGGGCAGCAAATCACAGAGGAGAAGATTGCAAATCTTTCTCCCACAGAGCAGCTGGTGGATTTTGGCTTGCCTACACAACTCCTTATCATTAAGCTACCAGAGCGCCCTCCAAGATATATTTGTTGTTGTTAAGTGCCATCGAGTCGGAGGCGACTCATAGTGACCCTATGAACGAAAGACCTGTACACCTGTATAACTTTTGTCCAAGATATATATTGTATATCATATTCTCTAGTGTAGTTCTAAATTTTATATTCAGTTCACTTGAGTTAGAGTAAATGATAAATCCCTTTTTAAGAAATCTGAAAAAAAATAAATTTGTTAAACGTTCAACATACCTGATACAGAAAGGATATTTATAGGTTTAAGTATTTTATAATTTGAGCTATTTCTGTTCTATTTCTAAGTCAGGCTTCTAATATTGCCATTTTGAACTCTCTCTTGTTTGCTGTTTATTTTTTCTCTGGTTGTAATTGAGGAGAAACATCCAAGATTGCCAGGGAGAAGAAGCCTAACACAGGAGTCTCTGGGTTGTAGATGTGAAAATACCAATCCAAGAGTCCATGGTTCAAATTCACTGAGAGTTACTTTAGAAGGCAGTCTTGGTGGTCTACTTCCAAAAGGTCACAAGTCTCTGGAAACATTATATAGAGCAGTTCTGCTCAATTGGAAGCGATGGGATTGGTTTGGACTGTGCTTTGCATGTTTGTTTTCTTTTTTCAACAGGGTTCTACACTCCGAAGGTTCTAGGCAGCATTGGGAAGTATGTAGAGATTTCATTTTGGTTGTCAGAAGGATTAGGGAGAGCAAGTGTTCCTTGGTAGATAGAGCTGAATCTTGCAGTGGCTGGCTTGGTTATATCAGAGAGTAAAGCATTATCCTGCCCAAAATGTTAGTAATTCATGAGTTGAGAAACACAAGTTCTGAAAGCATGCTAGTCTCACTAGATCAAATCAAATAGTCTCATTTTATAAGAAATCTTTGTGTGGTGCAGTTATTGCACTCAGCCGCTAAATTAAAACTTGGGAAACTTGTGTTTATTTACCCAGAAACAGCCACAAAAGAAAAGCCTAGCAATCTACGCCTGAAAAATCAGCCATTGAAAACCCTGTGTCACCAGGCAGAATTAGCTCCAAAGCAACTCTGACTGATTTGTAAGTAAATTGTGTTTGTTGTTTTTAAGTGTCATACAGTCAGCACCCCGTCCCCCCAACTTACTGCAACCCCATACTCAGTAGGGTTGAACCTTGTGATCCATAGTCTTTGCTGGCTGATTTTTCAAACCTTTCTCGCTAGTCTGTCTGAGTCTGGAATCACTACAGAAACCTCTTCAGCGCTATATCAGAATGCTCATCCTCACTGACAGACGTGTAGTGATTATACTTGTGATGCATTGTCTGGACTCAGATGTAACTCTCCTACCTGAAAGGCAAGAATTATACCTCTGGCGAGCTCTGGTGGCATAGTAGCAGGAAACTGCACTGCAATCCCAGAGGTGCGCAGTTCAAATCCACCAGATGCTCTGCTGAAGAAGGAGGAACAATCACCTCCTGTACCAGTCAGATCCAATTTGACGGTACACACATAAAAATAAATAAATAAATAAAAATTAAAAAATAATAATAATAATTTTACCTCTGAGCCACCACTGCCCTCTAGTAAAATGCAAAGGATTTGTGATTTCTCTCCTCATAGTTTTAAAGTTTCTACAGATCCATCCTGGAGAGGGTTAAACCAGGCTACTCCTTGGAGGCAAGGATTCTGAGACTCCATCTAACATACTTTGGACATGTTATAAGAAGGGACCGGTCCTTGGAGAGGGACATCATGCTTCGTAGGGTAGAGGGACAGCACAGGAGGGGAAGACCCTCTGTGAGGTGGATTGATTCAGTGACTGCGGTAATCGGGATGGTGTGTCAGAGGCAATGCGATTGGCACAGGATAGAGCAGGGTTTAGGGTTGTTGTACATAGGGTCGCTATGAGTCACAAACGACTCGACGGCACATAACAACAACAACAACTAATGACTTCTGTCCCCACTCACGGCTCTCAATCACTGTGAAATAACTTTGTGAGTGTATATGGGAGCATCAGTTGCTTATGCTCAGAAGCCAGCCTTCTTTTTTTCTTTGCCTTACATTCTTATGCTTGTCATAACTCTTGAAATTTACAGTGGTTTCTTCAAAAACCCCAGGAAAGATAAAAATTTTAACTCTTTACATTCACTTATAACAAATGCAATAGATTAAGAAATTTGTTTATCTAGTGTTTTTTCAGATCTTTATCGCCCCTGCAGAGTTATCCCTCAGAGTGACTGGTGAATCCAGACCACCAGCCTTTCCATTAATAGCTGGGTGCTTAGTCACTGTACTACAAACGTCTATACTTCTTAAAAGATTTTTTTTTAATTCTTAGTCAAAAATAAACATTTTAAGATTTATCTTAAATGCCAAGTTTGTCAGAGAATTTTAGACTAGTATAACAAAGAAAAAGGGAGCTCTGGTGGCCAAGTGGGAAGAAACAGCACTGCCATCTCAAGGCACGCAGTTCAAGGACACCAACCACTCCTTGGGAGAAGGATGGTCAGTCTCCTCCCATGTGATTAACTGCTTCTGAAAACCTGCTGGAGGGTCAGCCATGGGTCGTTTGCAACTTGATGGTAAACAACGCCAACAAAGAATAGTTCCTCTGTTAACCTTCTATGTACATCATAGTTTTAAAATGCCTCCTTGTTAATGTTAAAGCATTTGCTATGAATTGAAGTTTATAAAACATTTGAATTATTTTCTATATTGTTTATCTTGTTTTCTTATTAAAAATCCTTTTCCTAAAAGATCAACATTTAAATTTAAAAATTAATTTATTAAGAGATTTCCATGGCCATCTAAGAAGGCTATTAAAATGAATATGTATTAACAACAATAATAATAATAAAGGTCATTATTTTCAACTAATTACAGTTGTAGGTGGAATTTACTCATAAAGAGAATAAGTTAAAATATGTAGGAATAGATGGCTCAGAAGTTTTAAGTGAATAAGAAAAGAAAGCTAGAGAATTGTGTGAATTTGTTCTTGAAACATAGAAAATGAAATAAAGCAAAAGCAACAAAACAAGCAAAAATCATGGCATCAGTATTTCAGTAGTAAAGGAATTTTGCATTTTAGCCCTGTATCACAGTGTATCGCTGTGGGCTCCTCAGGCCTGCTGGTAGATCTAGAAACCTGACATACACATTTTTTGAGCTGGTTATTTCCATCATCTCTACTTTTTCCTCCTCCCCCTTTTTCTCCTTTTTCTCCCACTTGACCCCTTACACTCTGCCAGCTGTTTGAATTTTATAGGCTCTATCTGGGAGCAAGGAAGCTCTAATGGCTCAATGGTGAGGACTTGCACTGGAGTGCAAAACCAAGTAGTTTGAATCCACCAGTCAGTCCAGTCTCCTCCCATGGGATTTTCAGCCTCTGAACACCCACTGCAGGGTCAGTGGTCAAATATGAATTGAATCCTCCTTGAAAGCTCATAGCAACAACAGCATCGGGGAGCATATACTGTTGTGTGCTGTCAAGTTGATGCGGATTCATAGTGACACTATATCACAGACTAGAATTGCCTCACAGAATTTTCTAGTCTGTGAAAAAGACAGAGCAGAAATCTTTTCTCCACAGCAGCCAAGTACTTAACCATTATGGCAGCATAGCACCACCATCATTGTTAAACCACTTTGCTTGATGGCTAAGAGACCTCTTGTCTGAAACTCTGGAAATCTCCTCAAAGCCAAAGATAGCAATCACTGTATCTTCTACCATCCTTGAGCTCAAAGCTTACAAGAAATGAAAAGTACTTATTCCTTAAAAAGAAGTTAGAAATTTGTTGTCCAGTCTGATTGCTCATTTTTTTTATAAGGAGATGAAGATCAAGGTGATGCATTCATTTGACAATGAATCACCTGTTCCAGATAATCATTATTTTAGTGAGAGATAATTAGGAGAATTTACAACAAGATGTTGGGGGGAAAAGTCTTGTAAATGGACAATTATAATGAAATGTTTTGCATAGAGATAAGAGCAGATTGCTTCAGGTATATGGAAACATCACCATCAGAATTCAAAACCTATGTGTCTTGGTTCTAGGTTCTTTCATTTACATTTCTATCTACTGTTTAAGTGACTAATTGTGTTTACCTTAAAAAGTTTGTGTTTAAGCCAGAGAACTAAAGAACAAATAGCTTAATTTTAGGCCACAGTAACTGGAGAATTAAGAGGAACAAAGAACCTTTTACCTTTTCTCAGAAAGTGCCTAATCATGTGCATAAAGAAATGGCTTCAAATTGAGAGAACTGGTTTCAGATTTTTACTTTGCTAATAACCTGTCGTCCTGTTGTTGATGTTGTTGTGTGCCACTGAGGCAGAACCAACACCTATCTGACCCTCCTAGGTTTTAAGAGACAGTAAATTTGCTTTTGGTTTTGGCTTTATTGTGGTTAATATACATGCCATACAATGTACCTATTTAAAGCATACAATGTAATGTTTTTAGTATAGTCATAGAGTTTTATAA